TCGCCACGCCGCCCCCTGACTCCGGAACCCCACCCCCGCCACCCCTACTCCTAGTCCTAGTCTTCACCCTAACCCAAACCCTTAATCCGAACATCAACCACCAACCCCAGCCCCAACGAGTACTCGCTACTCATTACTCACTACCCACTACTGACTACTCGGTATTCGCTACTCACTTCTCACTACCCCCTACTCACTACTCACGACTCACTACTCACGATCCACTACTCCCTACCCACCACCCACAACTCGCTACTCACTACTCCCTACTCACTACTCCCTCCTCCCTACTCACTACTCACTACTCACTCCTCACTACCCACTACTCAATACTCACTACTCACTGAGCACTAATCACTACGCACGACCCACTAATCACTACTCATTACCCACTACCCACTATCCACTAATCACTACTCACTACGAACTACTCATTGCCCACAAATCACTACTCACTACTCACCACTCGCTAGTTGCTACTCCCTACTCCCTACACAATACTGACTACACAGTACTCAGTACTCACTGCTCGCTACCCCCATACTCGCTACTCAATACTCACTACTCACTCCCCGCTACTCACTATTCACTACTCACTACTTACTACCCCCTACTCACGAGTCACCATATAGTCTTTAGTCACTAGTCACAACTCACTAGTCACTAGTCACTACTCACTACCCACGACTCACAAATCGCTACTCACTACCCAAGATTCGCTACCCACTTCTTACTACTCACTGCTCACTACTCCCTACTCCCTACTCCCTACTCCCTACTCACTACTCGCTACTCCCTACTCGTTACTCACTACGCACTACCCACTACTCACTACTGACTACTCTTTACTCACTACTCACTACTCACTACGCCCTACTCGCTCCTCACTACTCACTACTCGCTACTCCCTACTCGCTACTCACTACTCACTACCCACTGCCACTACCCACTACTCTCTAGTCATCACGACTCACTACTCACTACTCACTACGCACTACGTACTACTCAGTACTCACTACTCACTACTCACTACAAACTACTCACTACTCGCTCCTCACTGCTCACTACTCACTACTCACGACTCACTACGCACTACTCACTACTCACTACTCACTACGCACTACGCACTACCCACTACTCACTACTCACTGATCACTAGTCGCCACCCACACTCATCACTATCGCTACTCACTACTCACTAGCCGCTCACTACTCACTGATCACTAGTCGCTCATTACTCACTACTCACTATCGCTACTCACTACTCACTACTCACTGATCACTAGTCACTGATCACTACCCACTACTCACTACTCACTGATCACTACTCACTGATCACTACGCACTACTCACTACTCACTACCCACTACCCACTACTCACTACGCCTGTAGGCCAACTCACAAACCAACCAACCAGCTAGGCAGGCAACCAACCAGCCAACCAGCCAGCGAGCCAACCAAGCAGCTCACCAGCCAAAGAACCAGCCAGCCAGCCAACCAGGCCACCAACCAACTGCCACCCAGCTACGAGGGGGCGGAGCGTGCCGAGAGGCATCTCTGAATAGAGCTGGCGGTGGCGGCGCGCAAAAATGCAATCCGAGAGCGGGTTTTTGTTCGCCACGGCGGCGAGCGGTTGCCCCCGCGGGCAGCTGCAAGGCATCCAGAGAACAGATGAGGGCAAGCCTGCCGTGGGATACTAAGGAATTCCGAAAGCAAGTCGAAAGGAATCCGGAGGAATTCCGAAAGCATCCTAAGGAATTCCGAAGAAATCGCAAGGAATTCCGAAAGCATCCTAAGGAATTCCGAGGGAATCGCAAGGAATCCCGAAGGAATCCCAAGAAATTAAGGAGTCCTCAAGAATCCGGAGGAATTCCGAAGGAATCGCAAGGAATTCCGAAAGCATCCCAAGGAATTCCGAAGGAATCGCAAGGAATTCCGAAGGAATCCCAAGAAATTACGAGAAGGAGTCCTCAAGAATCCGGAGGAATTCCGAAGAATTCGAAGGGATCCGGAGGAATTCCGAAGATCCCATCCGTGGTTGGAATTGGTCTCATTTTTGATTGGGTTGGAATTGGTCTCGTTTGTGGTTGGAATTGGTCTCTTTTCTGGTTGCAATTCGCTCCGAACGGTTGGAATTGGGACTAGTCGGTTGTAATTCGTTCCATTTCGGGTCCGGACCCCCCCCCCTTCAAGGGAGGGGGAGGGTTCGGGACCCCCCCCCCCTTAGACCTCCCAGTCTCCCCCCCCTTGAAGGGGGGGAGGGGGGGGGGTTCTGGACCCCCCCCCTCCCGTTTATTGTATTCAGGGAGATCCACTGGCGCACTTTCCCCAAGAAGCTCCAGGAGGCCCCCAGGAAGCCACCAGGAGGCACCAGAACGCCCCAGGAGGCTCCAGGAACCCGCCAGGAAGCTCCAAGAGGGCCGCAGGGTCCACAAAGCGTCGCGCGCACCGAAAGCTCAAGGAGCACCATACAACCTACCATTTTACGCAAAATCGGGGACCAGTTCTTCCAAAATCAAGCGGCGTTATGGCGCCCAGACCCCCCCCCCACGAGTCCCAAGCAAGCCCCAGGAGGCCCCCAGGAAACCACCAGGAGGCCTCAGAACACCCCAGGAGGCTCCAGAAGGCCTCCCAAAGAGCCCCAGGAGGGCTGCAGGGTCTACACAGCGTCCCGGGCACCGAGAAGGGGGAGGAAAAGGAAAGAGAGGAGGAGAGGAGAGGAGAGGAGAGGAGAGGAGAGGAGAGGAGAGGAGAGGAGAGGAGAGGAGAGGAGAGGAGAGGAGAGGAGAGGAGAGGAGAGGAGAGGAGAGGAGAGGAGAGGAGAGGAGGAGGAGAGGAGAGGAGGAGGAGAGGAGAGGAGAGAGGAAGGAGGAGGAGACGCGGGGCGTTGTCTCCTCAAAACGAGGACCCAACACCACAGGATGGTTGGGAAAAAAATCAAACAATGACTCAAAATGGTTCAAAACCCTATCCCGGGCGTCGTGGTGTTCGCGACCTGGACCAGAGCTGTGAGCCCAAGACCCGTCCTCGAGAGGCGGAGGGGGGGGAGGCGGAGGAGGAGGAGGAGGGGGGAGGAGGGGGAGGAGGTTGTTGGGGACGGGCATGAAGCCGAAGATCCAAGATCAGACCAGATCGGACGCGTCCGAAGCGGTCTCCTTGGGAGCCCCTCGGCCCAAGACCCTGGGATAAACGATGGGGAGGCGTCCGTCCTCGAGAGGCGCGCGCGGCCGCACAGTCAGCCCCCATCGGGAGGCATCCCAGGGCGTCCCTTCGGTCGGGCGTGTCCCCCTACAGGCGGCTTTGGTGGACCAGCAATACGAAATAATGAACAAGTACCCCAATATGGTCAAACATATGATAGTTTCCACACAATTCTTGTATTTCTGAATATTCCTCCCGTGGAGGGACAGGCCCGACGTAAGGTTAGCGCCTCTGGGATGTATCCCAGGACATCACCCCCTTTCCTGAGCGGCCAATGTGATCGGGCGGAACTCGGGGATGATTGGGGAAGGAGCATCGCCTGCGACTCAGTTAGAGGAATAACAAACGACATACACATCAGCTTTTGACGCTCCGCGCGGATTTCTTGGATCTGCGGTTAACCCCCCTCCCTACCTGGCGCGCGGAGCGCGCAACGAGCAGCGCCGAAGGCGCCGCTGCGGGGGAACCAGCGCGGATCCAAGAAATCCTCGCGTAGCGCCACAAGTTTATGTCTATGGCGTTCTTCTTCTTCGACGGGAGGACTGTCGCCTGCGACTCGCTGTCCAGGAAGAAGAGGAGAAGGAGGAGGAGGAGGAAGACGAGGTGGGGGAGGAGGACGGGGAGGAGGAAGAGGAAAAGGGGGAGGGGGACCAGTGTAAACCCAAGAACCATCAACGATGTTAAAATACACCCTCCCTCCAATCTTCCTCATCATAAGCCCTACAACGGTCCATTTCCATTGAAAAATCTGCCTCGTTGGAAGACAGCCGTTTGAAGATCCGGAAGCATGCCACAAAGCTGTTCTCGGGACTCCAACGCCACGGATCAACCTGACTGTTGTGTCTTGACGATCCTGGATCGTGGCAGACCGCCGTTCTTCGGATTTCAACACCTTGAATCAATCTAAGCATTGCACCCTCAGAATCTAAAATCCTTCCAAAACGAAATGTCGGGGGAATCCATGAAACTTTGGCAACTTGTATGAACGACTGTGCGCGGCACTAAAGACAAAACCACAGCTTGGAAAGGAACCGCTCTCCATCCGTGAAACTCTTGCATGTTTTTGTTATAATAATGGTAATACGAATATGAATAATACCAATAATGCTACTGCTACAAAAAAGGATAATAGTGGTAATAAGAATACTAAAAACCATGTTAATAACACACAAAGACAACACACGAAAAACGAGTGCGCGCAGCGCGAAGGAGAAAGCCACATGTTGAAAACGAGTTATCTTTAATGCGTGAATATCCTGCTATGTGTTGAACGAATGTGCGCGGCGCAGAGGCGAGAGCCACATCTTGAAAACGGGTGATCCTCAATCCGTGAAGCTCTTGCAATTGTTTAGCACTGATGCGCGCGGCGCTTAGGCGAGAGCAACATTTTGAAAACCACCCACCTCCATCTGTGAAACTGTTGCCAGCGTTGAGGACGTCTCAGCCGAAACGCCCGGCCCGCCCTAGAAACTGGCCTCGGGGTGCGACAGGGAGAAATCATGCAGAAGGAGAAGGAATGGAGGAGGAGGAGGAGGAGGAGGAGGAGGAGGAGGAGGAGGAGAGAGAGGAGGAGAGGGAATCGAGGGGGGGGAAGAGGAGCAGGAGGAGCCCGAGGAGGAGGAGGAGGAGGACTTGGGGAAGAACATCGCCCGCGACTCCGTGCCAGGGACTTGCGTCAGGGCCCAACGCTGCCCCCAACGGCGAGGCGGAGCGGGGGCTTCCCCGCGCCCGCCGCGCCGCCGCCGCGCCCGCGGGCGCCAGGCCGGGCCCGTACGGCGCGCCGCGGGGGGCAGCCGCTCCTCGCGGACGTCGATGTGCGGGAAGGCGCCTAGGAAGTCCTGCTCGCACGGACGCCGGGACGGACGAGGGGTCGATCTTCCTCCTGGATCCTCCTCCTCCTGCTCCTCGATCCTCGTCCTCCTCCTCCTCCTCCTCCTCCTCCTCCTCCTCCTCCCCCTCCTCCGCCTCCTCTAGGTCCTCTAGGTCATTGGCGCACCACGTCCCGCTGCTGCAACACTGGCACAAAGAGAGGAGGGCTGAGACCCGCCTGCGGTGTGGAAGATGCCGAAGGCACCGCAACCCAAAATCATGGACGGGCGAGGGATTCGCTCCGCCCAAAGTCCTGGCTCGAAGACGGGTCGATGCCAGCCCGCAGCTTCCTCAAACTGGTGCTGCCATCTTTGTTTCGGGGGTGGGTTAAACAGGCCTGACCGAGATACTGGGAACGGGCAGCTCTCAAGGCCCCGCACCTCGCACACCGGACAATCCTCCCACCCCCGATGTAAAGACTGTGTGATGGGTGGGCCGTCCTTGCAACCCTGGGAAGGCCCACACATGCCGTTCTACACACACACACCAATTATACTGCCAGACTCCCCGCAAAATATGCACAGGAACTTACCCTGACTGCCCACGCGAGTCAGACGATGGCCAGGGTCGTCTGGCACCAGTTCGAGTTGGGGGGGCCTGCTCTTGATCCTCGCTCGGACAAGCTCGACGTCTGAAGCCAAAGCTTGGAGAGGTACCTCATCGTCTTGTGGATGAGGGCCACTCCCTGCGAAAACCAGGGCCTCCTGCTCAGCATAGAACCCCTCCTCCTCCGCCTCCGCCTCCTCCTCCTCCTCGATCCTCCTCCTCCTCCTCCTCCTCTTCTGGCTTCTCCTTCTCCTCCTCGATCCCCCTCCTCCTCCTCCTCCTCATCATCATCATCATCGATCCTCGTCCTTCTCCTCCACCCCCTACTCCTCCTCCTCCTGCTCCTGCTCCTCGCCTCCTCCTCCTCCTCCTCGATCCTCCTCCTCCCCTCCTCCTCCTGCTCCTGCTCCTGCTTCTCATCATCCTCGTCCTCCTCCTCCTCTTCGATCCTCCTCCTCCTCCTCCTCATCATCCTCATCCTCCTCTCATACTCCTCCTCCTCCTCCTCCTCCTCCTCCTCCTCCTCCTCCTCCTCCTCCTCCTCCTCCTCCTCCTCCTCCTCCTCCTCCTCCTCCTCCTGCTCCTCCTCCTGCTCCTCCACGATCCCATCCTCCTTTGCCTCCTCGGTCCTCGCATTCCTGGCGAGCGCCATTCTTCAGGTTGCCAAGCGCGCACATGAGTCCAACGGCCTTGCCAAGCGCCATAATCTAAACTCCATGTGGGAAGCCGAAATCGCATCTGGTAAGCATGCCTCCTCGATCCTCTTCTCCTCGATCCCCTTCCCTCCTCCTCGATGTTCGATCCTTGAAGAGCTCGAGAAAACTCTACAAGGAAGGCGCCCCGCCAAGAGCCGGGGCGGACGGAAACCCGGGATCTCCAACGATCTGATCATTCAAATCCGGAAGATTTCCCATGGATTCGGCCTATCGGGGCCGTTTTCAGGCCCTGGGGCCATCAGAAATGTGGATCCAGTCGGGACCTCGGGGGCTGCGCATTGAAAAAATCTCATCCTCCGATGTCTGAGAGAGGCGGGTCGCAGAGGGGCGGGAGTGGCGAATCGGCACACGCAGCCGATGTCTCCGTGGCCAGCACCACCAATGTATTGAGGGAAGCGCCCTGCGGTGGGGCCGAAACCGGCTGCAAGCAGCAGCTTTCATGACCCTGTTCCCAATACAAGGGCTCCCAATTTCGCGCTTCGCGCTCCGCGAAGCGCGAATAACTTCGCGCTCCCGCGCCGCCCCCCCCAAGGGGAGAAACGGCGGACGAGGAGGAGGGGAAGGAGGAACGAGGCCCGCGGAGCGCGACTAACTTCGCGCCCTCGTGGGAGCCCTTGCAATACCACCATGCCTGGCCAGGGCCATCCTGGGACCAGGCGTTGAGTAATAGATGCCATTATGAATGAGGCCAGAAAGGTCAAACCGTCCTGCGGCACAGGATGGCCCTGGCCAGGCATGGCAGTCCCACCAGTACACCCTGCGAAATGCTTTAGAAATCATGGGTTAAGAAATTCATAGTCTAGGAACTTGAATAAAAACCCAGAATGTCGATTCAAATCTTAGGATTTGCATTGAAACATTAAGAAAAATCGAGGCTCTGGCCGAAAATTTGGGTTTTCTTAAGCATCGCCTAGAGTGTACTCTGTGCCGAGTGGCTTCACGAGCTGCTCTCAGTTGTCTGCCACAAACCTCTCCTTCCCCTGCTCGGGGAAGGGGTCTACTCCAGACTCCGTAACAAAAGGGAGGGGGTCTGGACCCTCCAAGACAAGCCAGTTCAGACGTCCCCGGTGGGAGAACCCTCCAAAACATCGTCCCCAGACCCCCCGGGCCCTCCAAGATAGCCTGGAAGAGACCCCCCCCCGAAATGAGACCCCCCTCCCTTTATTACGAAATCTGGAGTAATTACCCCTCCCCTTTACCCCCCCTCCCCTGGGCCTGGAGGTGGGCCCCCCCCCCGGCCCCCCCGGGTCGGCAGAAGACCGCCCAGGGTGGCCCAAGAGGGCTCCAAGGGGGCCCTCGGCAGCCCAAGATCGCCTCCAAACTGGCTCAAGACACCTCAACCGCTCAAGATACTCCAGATTTCGTAATAAAAGGGAGGGGGTCTCACCCCTCCCAGACGAGAAGCTTTAGACCCCCCCCGTGGGAGAACCCTCCAAAACATTGTCCCCAGACCCTCCCAGGCCCTCCAAGATAGCCTGGAAGAGACCCCCCCCGAAATGAGACCCCCCTCCCTTTATTACGGAATCTGGAGTACCTCAACCGCTCAAGATAGCCTCCGACATGCCTCACAGACGGCCCAAGGCAGCCCCAGCACGGCTTTGGTGCCCTTCGAGCCTCCCAGGGCAGCTCACGATATGCCAAAAACCTTGAACTACAATGACTTGTGGCTGCTCGTCGTCTCACTTCCGATGGGCCTCTTGGCCCTCAAGATGTCCCCAAGGTGGCCCAAGAGAACCCCAAGAGAAACCAAAGGCAGCCCCAAGACGGCCCCAAGAGCGTCTAAGAGACGCCCGGAAGCGGCTCAAGAGGGCCCCAAGAGGCCATCGTGGAGCATCTGAGGGGAGGAGGAAAATGTCTGACGCCCCCATGTGTGATCGATCTCCTCCAAGATGGCCCCCAGAGAGCCCACAAGGGCGCCGGGCGCCCAGCATCACAAGGGAGGCCCCCAAGAGGCCCCCACAAGAGACCAAAGAGGCTCCAAGAGGCTCCTCCGAGGTATCACAGACGCCCGAAGAGGCCGCAAGGACCACCAACACCTCTCCTCCTCCTCCTCCTCCTCCTCCTCCTCCTCCTCCTCCTTCTCGTGCACCTCCTCCTCCTCCTCCTCCTCTTCCTCCTCCTCCTCTTCATCCTGCTCCTCCTCATCCTCCTCGTCCTCTCCTCCTCCTCATCCTCCACTCTCATTCGAGGCAGTGTGATCTTATGTTGATTATAAACCCATGAGATAAATAAGAATCGGCAACAAGTGACACATCCAGGGCCGCATGCAACCTCCTCCTCCCCCTTCCCCCTCTCCCCTCCCCCTCCACCTCCCCCTCCTCCTCCTCCTCCTCCTCCTCCTCCTCCTCCTCCTCCTCCTCCTCATTCTCCCCCTCCTCCTCCTCCTCCTCCTCCCCTCCTCCTCCTCCTCCTCCTCCTCCTCCTCCTCTCCTCTTCCTCCTCCTCCTCCTCCTCCTCCTCCTCCTCCTCGTCCTCCTCCTCCTCGTCCTCCTCCTCCTCCTCCTCCTCCTCCTCCTCACCGTCCGTTCCTCCTGCTCCTCCGCCGCCTCCTCCTCCTCTCTCCCCCCGTCGAATCACCCTTCCCAACACCAGCAGAGTCTCCTCCTCCTCCTCCTCCTCCACCACCTCCTCCTCCTCCACCACCTCCTCCTCTCTTTCTTTTTCTCTTCCCCCCCTCCCTCCCCGCCTCCCCCCGTCCCTCCCCCTCCTCGTCCGAGCCTCCTGGGGGCCCCCGCCGCCCCTCCCGCGCGGGCACCCCGCCCGCGCGGGCGGGCGCAGGCCGCCCGGGGTCCTGGAAGGAGCCCTGGATGGCGTCCTCGAACTCGTCCATGTCCTCGTACCTTGACCCCCTGAGGAGGTGGAGGAGGTGGAGGAGGTGGAGGAGGAGGTGGAGGAGGCGGGGGGGGAGGAGGAGGTGGAGGAGGAGGGGGAGGAGGAGGGGGAGGAGGAGGACGAGGAGGAGGACGACGACGACTAGACGGGAGGAGGGAGGAGGAAGAGGCGGCCAAGGAGGAGGAGGAGACATGTGATGGCGAGGAGGAGAGGGGGCAGGAGGAGGAGGAGGAGGAGCCCCGGCTGGCGTCCTCGAACTCGTCCATTTCCCCCAACCTGGAACCGCGCCCCGCCGGTCAGGAGAGGCTAAAGTCCAGATGGAGACTGAGTACTCCGCGTGGAGCTGCCCCTATTGACTACCTACCAGACCACCCCAACACAACCCGAAGACCCGAATTTCGGGTTGGGGGGGGTACGGGTTCCATATGTGTTTTCTCGATGTTCCCCGACCCCCCGACCCCCCCCCCACTGGAAATGGAGGTCAATTTGAGGCCTTCGGGTTGGGTTGGGGTGGTTTGGTGGGTGGTGACCTATGGACTGAGCCTCCTATCAGAAGAGGCTAAGTCCAGATGGAGCAAGCCCAGACGGGGACCGAACACTCCGTATGGACTGACGGAGCATCCGCCGAGCGGGGGCGAGCCGGGAACTCATCCAGAGACACCGCCCGGGGGAGCGGCCTTCGGGGGGGCCTCGGCAGGCGGGGGGCGTGTGCACTTCATAGGGGGGCGCCCAACTTCGCGCTTCGCACTGCGCGAGTAACCTCGCGCTCTCGAGCCGCCCCCTAGTGGAGAAGAGGAGGAGCAGGAATCTGGGCCGCACCGCTAAGCCCGAAGAACTTCGCGTCGTCGACGGCGCTTGTGCACTTCGACCCCCCCTCCTCCTGGGCCCGAATGTCAGTGTGGGGGGGCTGCACGGTCACTCATTGTCCCCGGGTGCGTGGCTAAAAGGGGATTCAGTGACCCGACGTCCGTTCCGAAACAACCTGTGGTGTTAGGTCCTCGATTCGAAGAGACAGCATCCCCCGTTCCCTCTCCTGCTCCTCCACTCTTCCTCCCTCCCCCCTATGGCCATCACCAGCATCATCTTCATATCCATCATCATCATCATCAGCAGTATCAGCATCACCATCATCATCATCATCATCATCATCATCATCATCATCATCATCATCATCATCATCATCATCGTCATCATCATCATCATCAGCATCATCAGCATCATCATCGTTCTCCTCCTCATCATAATCATCATCAGAACCAATATCAGCATCATAATCGTGAACATCGTCATGATCACCATCATCATTATAAGCATCATCACCATCAGTATAAGTATAATCCGCATCATCATCAGCAGCAGTCATCAACATCAGCTGCATCAGCATCATCATAATCATCAGCAGCATCAGCATCATAATCATGATCATTATCAGCATCATCATCATCATCATCAACAACAACAGCAACATCATCAGCATCAGCATCATCATCACCATCATCATCATAATCATCAGCATCATCATCATCAGCATCATCATCATAAGCATCGCCGTCATCTTCAGCATCAGCAGCATCAGCATCATCACAATCACAATCACCATCGCCATCACTATCAATATCACCCTCCCCCTCCCCCTCCCACTCCCCCTCCCAATCCCATCCCCGTCCCCATCACCATCACCATCACCGTCATCATCATCATCATCATCATCAGCGACAGCAGCTGCATCATCATCACCAGCATCAGCATCAGCATCAGCAGCATCATCACCATCACCATCACCATCACCATCATAATCAGCATCACCATCATCAGCAGCATCATCGGCATCATCGTCATCATCATCGTTATGAGCATCATCATCAAAATCAAATTCACCATTACCACCACCATCATCCTCATCATCATCATCATCATCATCACCATCATCATCATCATCATCATCATCATCATCATCATCATCATCATCATCATCACATCATCATCATCATCATCATCATCATCATCAGCATCAGCATCAGCATCACCATCATCATCATAATCATCAGCATCATCATCATCATCATCATCATCATCATCATCATCACCATCACAGCGTGTCGTGGCCCCATAGGGAGCTCCACAAAAGGCCCTAGCGGTTGTGATAACATGCATCCCCGCCAGCCAATACAGCGTGTCGTGGCCCTTTAAGGGGAGCTCCACCGAAGGCCCCAATGGTTGTGATAGCATGCGTCGCCGCCACCCGGTACAGCGCTTCGTGGCCCCATACGGAGAGCTCCACCGAAGGACCCGGTGGCTGTGATCACATGCGCCCCCGCCACCCAGTACAGCGATTCGTGGCCTCATAGAGAGCTCCACCGAAGGCCCCAATGGCTCAGATCACATGCGTACCCCCACCCAGCACAGCGTGTCGTGGCCCCAGAGGGAGTTACGCAAGGGCCCAAGTGGCTGTGATCACATGCGTCCCCACCAGCTAATACAGCGTGCCGTGGCCCCATCAGGGGAGCTCCACCAAAGACCCCAATGGTTGTGATAGTATGCGCCGCCGCCACCCGGTGCAGCGCTTCGTGGCCCCATAAAGAGCTCCACCGAAGGACCCAGTGGCTGTGATCACATGCGTCCACTCCACCCAGTGCACCGCTTCGTGGTCCCAGATCGAAGGGTCCGGCGGCTGTGATTACATGCGCCCCCGCCACCCAGTACAGCGCGGCGTGGCCGCAGAGGGAGCTCCACCGAAAGCCACAGTGTCTGTGATCACATGCGCCCCCCCACCCAGCACAGCGCGTCGTGGCCCCATAGGGAGTTACGCAGAGGGCCCAAGTGGCTGTGATCACATGCGTCCCCACCAGCCAGTACAGCGTGCCGTGGCCCATAAGGGGAGCTCCACCGAAGGCCCCAGTGGTTGTGATCGCATGCGTCCCCGCCACCCAGTGGAGCGCTTCGTGGCGCTCCACCGAAGGTCCTGGTGGCATGCGTCCGCTCCACCCAGTGCAGCGCTTCGTGGCCTCATGGGGAGCTCGACCGAAGGCCCCGGCGGCTCTGATCATATGCGCCCCCGCCACCCAGCACAGCGCTTCGTGACCCCATAGGGAGGTCCACCGAGGGCCCCAGTGGCTGTTATCACAGGCGCCCCCGGCACCCAGTACAGCGCTTCGTGGCCCCATACGGAGCATGCGCCCCCGCCACTCAATACAACGTTTCGTGGTCCCATAAGGGAGCGCCACCGAATGCCCCAGTGGTTGTGATCGCATGCGCCCCCGCTACGCAGTACGGCGCTTCGTGGTCCCATAAGGGAGCCCCACCGAAGGCCCAAGTGGTTGTGATCGCATGCGCCCCCGCCACCCAGTACGGCGCTTCGTGGCCCCATAAGGGGAGCTCCACCGAAGGCCCCAGTGCCTGTGATCACATGCTCCCCCGCCACCCAGTACAGCGCTTCGTGGCCCCATACGGAGAGCTCCACCGAAGGCCCCAGTGGCTGAGATCACTTGCGCCCCCGCCACCCAATACAACGCTTCGTGGCCCCAGAGGGAGCTCCACCGAAGGCTCCCTCGGCTGTGATCACATGCGCCCCCGCCACCCAGTATAGCGGGTCGTGGCCTGATAAGGGGAGCTCCACCGAAGGTCCTGGTGGCTGTGATCACCTGCGTCCACGCGACACAGTGCAGCGTTTCGTGGCCCCGTGGGAAGCTCCACCGAAGGCCCCACTGGCTGTAATCACATGCGTATCTCCTCGGGCTTTTCGCGGCCTGCTCCCAGGGAGTTTCACCGAAGGCTCTGGCAACAATATCAACATGCGCCCCCCGCCCATGTCTGCATACCCCTCGCCCGTCTCTTGGCCCCATAAGGAGCTTCCCCTCCTTCGTCCCACCTACCACGCGGTACTGACAACTGCATGTGGGTGGGTCCTTACCCAAGATACATGTTTGTTCGCAACCCTCTCGCGACCCACCCGCGACCCACGCCGCGACCACGCCGCGACCCCCCCGCGACCCACCTGCGACCCACCCCGAGACCCCCCCGACCCACCTGCGACTCACTCGTGCTGGTATTCCCTCCGGTATTGCTGAAAGGCGACCTCGAACGGAGGCCACGGCTTCGAGCCGTCGTCAGCTGTGGTCCCAGCATCTGCGCTGTAGCCGTTGACATGCTTGTCGTCAGGTCTTGGGCAATGCAGGGAGGTTGTCGTCTCGGGGCATGTCTTGGCCATGGAGACTGGTCTTCGTGGAACTCTTCGTCGGCATCGGCTGGTGGTTGCTGTTGGCCAGCCGATGCTGCGCCTTCGGTACAGTGTCATTGTGGTGGAGTTGGTTGGTCTCCGCTGCGGTGTTGCCTGCGCTTGCTGAGCTCCTCCTCCGCCTCCTCCTCCTCCTCCATCTCCTCCTCCTCCTCCTCTCCTCCTCCTCCTCCTCGTCCTCCTTCATCCTCCTCTCCTCCTTCCATCTCCTCTCCTCCTCCTCCTCCTCCTCCCCTCCTCCTCCTCCTCCTCCTCCTCCGCCTCCTCCTCCTCCTCCTCCTCGGGACAAAGTGTGAAGCGCAGGACCCGGAGGAGACAAAAAGTACGCGGCGCGGGGCTGTAGGCGACGCGAGGAGAAGGAGGAGGAGGTGGAGGAAGTGGTGGAGGGCGAGGGGGAGGGGGAGGGGGAGGAGGAGGAGGAGGAGGAGGAGGAGGAGGAGGAGGAGGTGGAGGAGGAGGAGGAGGAGGAGGAGGAAGGAGGAGGAGATGATGGAAGAGGAGGAGGAGGAGGAGGAGGAGGAGGAGAAGGAGGAGGAGGAGGAGGAGGAGGAGGAGGACGGGTCACCTAAGGCCTGCGGAGAAATCCTCAAGCGGATGTTGCTCGAGGATTCCACCAGCACGCCTGCAAACCGAACCTGACCAGGCCGTGCGCCTGGGGCTCGGGAAGTCGGTGGGTGCACCTCCCTGGCTCAGGCTGGGAAGGCACACGCAGAGGGTCGCTGGTGCCCAAGGAGGGGCCTGGCAAGGATGGCTGGAGGCGTGGGTAGGGGGCCACATGCGGACCCCACCCCTGCCCCCCCTGAGTTCTGTCTGAGGGGGGGGGTCACTTCGCTCTGGGAGCTCCTGGCGCTCCCCGGGAGAGGAACGAGACGACGACGGACAGAAAGAGGATGACGCATCTCCGAGGACAGCAGGTTCTGAAGAGGCAGCGAGACTGCATCGTCCCGGGGGCGCAAGACGACACGACTGAGACATCAAGGAGCGCGGAGCCAAAGTGGCTGGAGGACTAGATGGCAAGAACGCTCGGGAAGCTGCCGCATCGCGAGGACGGAAAGGAGGAAGAGAGGAGGCTAAAGCAGCAGCAGAAGGGGGCAAAGGTGGGAGGAGGGAGGAGGGGAGAGAGGAGGAGGGGAGGTGCGAGGGCCGAGAAGAGAAGGAAGCCGGAGGGAGGACGTGCGCAGGCCCCCTCCTCCGCCTCCTCCTCCTCCCTCCCTCCTCCTCCTCCCTCCTCCTCCTCCTCCTCTCTCCTCCTCCTCCCCTCATCCCTCCCCCTCCTCCCTCCTCCCTCCTCCTCCTCCTCCTCCTCTTCCTCCTCCTCCTCCTCCTCCTCCTCCTCCTCCTCCTCCTCCTCCTCCCCTCCTCCCCCTCCTCCTCCTCCTCCTCCTCTCCCCCTCCGCCTTCTCCCCCTCCTCCTCCTCCAGGAGATGTACGCGTGCACTTCTATTAGGCTGATGCGTCGCGCAAATCGGACACGTACGTAAAAAGCAAGAGCCAACGGTGTCTTGCAGACAAGTGCGCAGTGCTCAGACACAGAGCATGTACACATGCAGACCTGCACACAGCACAAAACCTGCTGACACGCCCGTCCCCTCCCGAGATCATTGAACAGAAAATTGCTGATCCCGTCCGTGGGCAGCCACTCCACGCCGGCCTAAAGGGGGGACGCAGAGGGGCAGGACGGTGCCCGGACAAAAAGTGTCCACACCCAGGGCGGCAAGACACTGCGACGTGATAACAATCGCAACAACATGATGCACTTGCCTCGCACCCCTCCACCCCAAAACCCAAAGTTGAACTGTCCACATTTTGTCCCTTGCGCGCGGCCTGCCGCCGAACCCCGCCAACTTTGAGTTGGGGGAAAGGGGGGTATACATATTCGCTCGACGTGATTTGACGACAAGTTGTGTTGGCGCGACAAGTGTGGACACTTGTTGTCCAGAGAGAGCACGATGGAAGAAGGAATGACAGACGGGATGATAATATGAAAGAGGAATTGGAAACGAGGACAGAGTGCTACGGGAGAAGCGAGCGGAGGAGTGAGGAGAGAGGGAAGTGCACAGAACGAGGAGACATGAGGAACCATCGATGGGGACAGATCATGGACGAATGAGTGGTGGGAAGACGAGGGGTCTGCTGACAAAGGAAAGGGAAGAATTGAGAGCTTACGAGTACAAGCGAGGACTCAACAAGAACACTGTGGTATGCCTAGAGTGCCCCAGATCGCTCCAAGAAGCAGCGACGGCGCAGTTGCCGCGGGGCTAATATGCAAGGCCTGCAAAAAGGGAAATTGGAGTTCCCGAGGGCGTCAGCCGTCAAGGCCGAGCAGGCCGCGTCCTCCCAAGAGCTGCCTTCGATGTGCACGCCTGGTGGGCATAGGCGGGATCCCTACAACCAGCCCTGGGCTGATGCCCTTGAAATAACCCACGGGCATGATGTGCGCTCAGGGATGCTCTCCGATGGCGTCGCGAGTAGTGATCCACACGATTGCACTTCGCTGTGCTGCGTGACTTCAGGCCACGGCTCGAGTTGGGATTCGTTCGGGGAGATTCTCGTTCGGGGGGGTCGTTCGGCCAAGCTGGCCCCGAGCCGCACCGGGCCTACGTAGAGAGCAGACAATCCACCCTCAGAACTAACCACCCTGACGCGCGAAGTCGTTGAGTAAACGCACCCAAAACAAGAAATCTAACAGGGCAGGGCTGTTCAGTAAACGCCCAGGGCCGTTTCGTAAACGCCAATTATCGGGTCCGGGCGGTTTTTCCTCCTCTGACCACGGAGCCATGGGAGGAGTCATGTTTTGGCGACCGCCAGATGAGCGCTGGCTTTCTGGAAGGCGAGCGCGGCTGGGGACGACAGCGAGCCCGAGGTTGGAATGGCGAGGCAGCAACATTCTTTGCGAGGGCTGGCCATCGGCTCCCAGCATGACTCCGACTCGCCTGTCTTCGTTGTAATACTATGGCTGCGGTGTGGAACAGTAGGCGCGCCTTTGGACGCCGCGCTTGCCATGCCAGGGCTCCCTGACGGCGAGACTGATGGGCCTGTTTTCCACCACCACCACCACCATACGTTGGAGGGGGAGGGGGTCCTCCTCCTCCTCCTTCTCCTCCTCCTCTTCGTCCTCCTCTTCCTCAGCCTCCTCCTACTTCCCCCCTCCAACTTATGGTGGTGGTGGTGGGAAACAGGACCATCAGAGACAACACTCCTCCGGAGATTGCACGGGGGCAGCCTTTTCCAAAGCAGGAGGGCCTCTCGTTCTCCAGGAGCACGTTGCGAGGAGCCTTCTCCCAGATCTAGACCAGCTGATGGCCAGGAAGCCTGCGGACACAGAGGAGGGGAGCGCCTTTTTGAGTGATACCTCGGGCTTCGATTTCGAGATTCCCTCGGTCCACGTGGCCGATGTGGGAATGGCGGCTTATGATGATCGCACCGTGTCTTGGCGGGGCGGTATTATTAATCTGCGCCGCACCCCGTGCTGCCAGCTCACGCGGCGCGGAGTGTCGAAGACTTCTCGGTATGCCTGGCATCTCGCCGCGCGACGGAGAGTCTCTGCGCCGACTGCGAATGCACCATGGATCAGGGCATGCCGCGCGCCACGGGCCGCGGCACGCAGGGCCGCCAGTGCGAGAGCTCGCGTGTGGGACCTGGTGCTCTGATGCGCAACTGTTCCACCACTTCTACCGCATGTAGGACGGGGGAGAAGCGAGGATGAGGAGGTCCTCCTCCTCCTCCTCCTCCTCCTCCTCCTCCTCCCTCTCCTACCTATGGTAGTGGTGGTGGAAAATGAGCTCATCATGCTCGGGGCTACATGCCCCGGGACGCGACACCCGCAACAAACTGCCAGCGCGCGCTTGAGCCCGCGTTTGTACTATTCGCGATGACGCCGAGGGGCGGAGCAGCCCCGACCCCACCCCCCAGGTCAGAGGCCTCCTAGATGGGGTCCGAGTAGATGGGGTCGGAGGATCTCGCCGCATCGCCGATACATCGGCGATGCATCGGCGATGCATCGCCGGCGATGCATGGGCGACGTCGACGTGAAGCAAGTCGGGCTCCACGTCGAGCCGCATCGCCGATGCATAGTCGATGCGGCGCGACCCTCCGGCCCCATCTACTCCGATCCCATCTAGGAGGCCCAGCCAGGTCACGTCACGATTCGTGCTGGCGCCGTGCAGCAATTTGCCATCCCTGCGCATTCCCATACGGCGCCGGCTCGAATCGCGACGTGACCGGGGCCTCTCCCCCGCCCCCCCTGGCCACGCCCACTATCGCATCGGGATGGAACAACTGTCATTTCGAACAGGGGCCTGCTCGGATTGGACAAGTTTGACAAGTTCGAACGGTTGACAGATTGAAAGATCTTTCGATCCGGGACTCCTGGAATGAAATATTGAAATATGTAAGGGTATTTCAATCCGGTGCCTCCTGACTGAAAGCTTGAAAAGTGGTCGATCCAATATTGCTTCAATCGTTCAATATTTCAATCGCGGATTCCCGGATTCAAACATGCTTCAATCTTTCCTCTTCTAAATTTTCAATTATATGACCTCGGCCGACCTTCAGAAGCCCTCCGGACGTTTCAGGAAAACCACAATACACTTCCCGGGAGAGCCTGAATAAACAAAACTTGCGCGATTCCCCAGAGGAGACATTATCTCTGCACCACATTCACCTCTTCGACGTTCACACCATCCGCGACCGCCCCAGAGAGTTCCAGCACCGCCCCCAAAAAAACCCAAGAGTCTCTCAACAGGATCCCCAGACAGCCGAGGACAGCCGCAAATGAGACCCAGTCGCCACAGAGTCGCCTAGAAATTCCAACGAAACCAGCCAGGGGCCCAAGAAATCTTATACATGTCCAGAGAGTTTCCACAAGTCCCCACGAACTCCCCGGAGGCGTCCATAAGGTCAAAACACTGCTTCCGACCCGCTCTCGAAAGACTTCCCACGACGCCCCATCACTCATCCAAACTGCCACGCACATCGCCCAAAAAACACCACAAGAGTCTCTGAACAGGTTCCCTAGATACCCGAAGACAGCCCCGAGCGAACCCCCGAGTCGCCCCAGAGTCGCCCCAGAGTCGCCTAGGAATCCCGACGAAGCCGGCCAGAGGCCCAAAACATGTTGTACATGTCAGCGGGGTGTTTCCACAGATCCCCACGAACTCCCCGGAGGCGTCCAGAAGATCAAAACACTGCTTCCAACGCGCTCTCGAGATGCTTCCCACGACGTGTTTGTTCGGTTTCGTGCATGGTTTTTTCGCCGAATGGTCAAGGATGCTCCTCGCTGGTCCTCGCCGAAGGAAAAATGCACACGTCCGAGCGATGCCAAGGACGTGGCCCCCGAGGTGCATGTGGAGGTGGTGGAAAGTGGGATGCCGGAAGCTGGAAGTCGGAGTTGATCCCTGGGGCGCCTGGTCAGAGGAGAGGGTCAAGGCAAGAGAGCCCAGAACCGAATCGATGAGCCGGGATCGGCGATCGAGACGAGTCGGATCGGCGGACATGGGCGGCCGAGCCGGCCGAAGCCGAACCGGCGGACATCGGCAGGCCAATACACCCTCCCATGGGCAATCGGAGTCCAAGTCGGAACCCGAAGCCGGATCGAATCGGAAGAGGAGGAGGGGGAGGGGAGGGAGGAGGAGGAGGAGGAGGAGGAGCACCGAAAGCGAGCCGAATCGAATCCGAGGGGTCGAAACAGGCCCTGCCGAGGCAGCCCGCCGCGACGGCGAGGGGCCGCCGCTCCCCTCGGCGCGTCGGGCGGGGGCGCTCGGCCCCGCACGAGAGGGGTCGCCACCGCGGGGGCGCGCACGCCTGGGGGAAGCCGAGGGCGCGGGCCGCTCTGGCCCCGCGTCCGCGTGCGTCTGCTCTGGCCCCGCGTCTGCGTCTCATGTTGTCCTCGTCCCTCCTCCTCCTCCTCCTCCTCCTCCTCCTCCTCCTCCTCCGCCTGTTCCTCCTCCTCCTCCTCCTCCTCCTCCTCCTCCTCCTCCTCCTCCTCCTCCTCCTCCTCCTCCTCCTCCCTCCTCCTCATCATCATCATCATCATCATCATCATCATCATCATCATCATCATCATCATCATCATCACATCATCATCATCATCATCATCATCATCATCATCATCATCATCATCATCATCATCAGCATCATCATCGTCATCGTCATCATCAGCATCATCAGCATCATCACATCATCATCATCATCATCATCATCATCATCAATCATCATCATCATCATCATCATCACATCATCATCATCATCATCATCATCGTCATCAGCATCATCATCATCATCAGCATCAGCATCATCATCAGCATCATCATAGCATCATCAGCATCATCATCATCATCATCAGCATCATCAACATCATCAGCATCATCAATCATCATCAGCAGCATCAGCATCATCCATCAGCAGCATCATCAGCATCATCATCATCATCATCCTCATCATCATCATCAGCAGCATCATCATCATCATCATCATCAGCATCATCATCATCATCGTCCATCATCATCATCAGCATCACCAACATCAGCATCATCATCATCATCGTCATCGTCATCAGCATCATCATCAACATCAGCATCATCAGCATCATCATCAGCATCATCAGCATCAGCATCATCAGCATCATCATCATCATCAGCATCATCAACATCATCAGCATCATCAGCATCATCAGCAGCAGCAATGGCAGCATCATCAATCATCAGCATCATCATCATCAGCATCATCATCATCAGCATCATCAGCAGCATCATCACCACCACCATCATCATCATCATCATCAGCATCATCAGCATCAGCATCATCATCATCATCATCATCATCATCATCATCATCGTCATGATCATCACCTTCAACGGCATCAGCATCAGCATCAGCATCAGCACCACCAATTCATCACTACCATCATGTTCACCGTCGTCGTCATCATAATCAGCAGCAACATCATCGGCATCATCACCACCACCCCAACCATCACCACCATCATCATCATCAGCATCATCATCATCGTTGCTGTCGTTACGAACATCATCATCGTCATCATCACCATGATCAGCATCAGCATCATGATCAGCATCATCATCGTCATCATCGTCATCGTCGTCATCATCGTCGTCATTATCGTCATCACCATCGTCGTCGTCATCATCATCATCATAATCAGAATCGTCCTCGCCATCGTCATCGTCAGCATCGTCGGAGTCGGCGGCATCCGCATGAGCATTAGCAGAAGTATAGTCATCAGCATCAGCAGTAGCAGCACCACCAGTTTGTAAACCATCCTGATCCTCTTAATCATCGTCATCATCATCACCATCACCATCATCATCATCATCATCATCCTCACAATCCTCATCAACAACATCAGGCACGTCGTCCTACCCGTCCCTCTCCTAGCACCACAATTATACTCGTCATCAGTATCACAGGCGTCATCATTACCGTCACCAAAATCATCATCGCCACCACCATAAGCATCATGACACCTCTTCTACTTGCAATGTTATTAGCGTCATACCGTGATTGTCGTTCTCATCGTCCGTCGCATGTTCGTCATCGTCATCATCACCAGCATCAGCATCGTCAACATCATCATCAGCACCATAAACACATCAACTAAAGCTTAGTAATCAACATCACCAGCACCAGCATCGTCATCGTCATTGTCATCGCCATCGGCATCATCATCGTCATCATCGTCAGCATCATCATCATCAGCATCATCATCATCATCGTCACCGTTAGCAGCAGCAGCGTCATCATCATCATCATCATCAGCATCATCAGCATCAGTATCATCAGCATCATCATCGTCGTCGTTGTCGTCGTCGCCATCGTCGTCGCCATAAGCACCATCATGAGCATAAGCATCAGCGTCATCATCATCATCCTCAGCATGACCATCATCAATCGTCGTCATCACCAGCGTCGTCGTCGCCGTCACCGTCGTCGTCGGCGTCTGCGTCGTCGTCGTCATCGGCATCCGCATCGGCATCAGTAACAACATCAACATCATCAGCAGCATCATGATGATCATCGTCATCCTCCTACGTCTGCTCGTCACCGTTATACTCGTCATCATCACCAGCATAACCACCACCACAACCCTCATCATCATCACCAGCATCATCATCGTCAGTATCGTCGTCGCCAGCATCGGCAGCATCATCACCACCACCATCACCACCACGAGCATCATGATAAGCTTCATCACCACCACCACCATCATCAGCATGATAATCATCAGCATCAGCATCACCATCATCACATTCAGCGTCATCATCATCATCATCATCATCATCATCATCATCATCATCATCATCATCATCATCATCGTCTCGTGGCGCCCCCGCCTGCTCCTGCGCGGTCTCGTACCACTTTTCGACCTCCGACACGATGCGTTCTATCTCCTGGCCGCGAGGGGCCAAGAGGTTAGAGAAGGAGGAGAAGGAGGACGACGACAACGACGACGACGGCGGCGACACTGACATCGGCCGACCATGAGAACGACGACGACATCGGTCGACGCCGACGACGCCAACGACGCCGACGACGACTTCGACGACGTCAACCACGACGACAACGACCTTGACGACGACGACATCGCTGACGACGTCGTCGCCGACAACGACGACGAGGACGACGACGACGGAGACAAGGAAACCCAGAAGGACGAAGACGAGGACCAAGACCAAGGTGAGCGGATCGCTGGAAGCCCCCGCGCCGACAGCCCCGTCCCGAGACCTCCAGCGACGACTAGATCGATCCAAGAGCGGGCCTAGGCCACGGACAGGTTCCAAGACATAGACCTAAGGAACGGCCCGAATAACCCCGATCCCCCCCTGAGCTTGTGGATGCCCTGACAGTGGACACTCAAACCGTTCTACTATTGGATTCCCTGTGTCTTTGAAATGTCTTCTACATGTTGAAAAAATTCTCGAGAAATTGATCAAACCTGCTTTGGCGCCTCAGTGACATGACTGAAACGTATATTTTGGGGAACATGCCTTCTCTCCATTGCTCGTCTTCCACGACAAAGGTGCAGGGCGGGGAGAAGGGCGAAGCGATGGGAAGTGCTCGGGAGGGGGAGCCTAGAGGAGGGATTGGAGGAGAAGGAGGAGAAGGGGGAGGGAAGAGGGGGAGGAGGAGGAGGAGGAGGAGGAGGAGAGGAGGAGGAGGAGGAGGAGGAGGAGAGGAGGAGGAGTAGGAGGAGGAGGAGGAGAGGAGGAGGAGGGAGGAGGAGGAGGAGGGAGCCCCGCGCGGCCCTCGTGTCAGTGTCTTCGTGGCCACGGCCTGCCCTGCAGGAGGGCCCGAGCGCGGGGGAGCGAGGCCGCCCGGCGTGGCACGCCGACCTGCGGGCCCGCCCCGAGCACGCCGCGCGGCCCGACGAGGAGGAGGAGGAGGAGGAGGGGGAGGGGAGAGGAGGAGGGAGGAGGAGGAGAGGAGGGAGGGGGCCGGAGGAGGATGGAGGAGGAGGAGGAGGAGGAGGAGGAGGAGGGAGGAGGAGGAGGAGGGGGGAGGAGGAGGAGGAGGAGGGAGGAGGAGGAGAGCGGGGGGGGGCCACGCCACGCTCGCGGCCGCGGCCCGACGAGGAGGAGGAGGAGGAGGAGGAGGAGGAGGCGGAGCTGGCCGCGCTGGCGACGAGCCTCCTGGCGGCCGCCGAACATCGGCGGCGAGCGAGGGGGCTCGCCATCGCTCGGACGTTCATTCCCCGTGCTTTTTTGTCGGCTTCGTGCGTGGCTCTTTCGCCAAAGGGTCAAATATGCTCCTCGATGGTCCTCGCCGAGAAAAAATGCACACGTCCGAGCGATGCCAAGGGGGGGAAGTGAGGAGGAGAAGGCCTTCTCCGAAGCTCGAGTGTCCCCCAGCCTTCTGACAAGATGTCTAAGCTCTGAGCCTCCCCCGAAGACAGCTAACACTTCTCAGAAGGCGCGGGGGCTCCTGAGAAACCCCGCCGCCTTCTGAGAAGGCCTTCCCTTCTCATTTCCCCCCCCCTCGCTCGCCGCCGCAATATTGGGGAAACCAGGAGGTACCGATACCGCTACTCCCCAAACCTCCTTCAAGGTGCGTTCTGGCCAGAATCTCGAGGCGAATCCCGCGGTGGCGACGAGGGCCTCCCAGGAGGCCCCAAAAAAGGAAAACGGCTAGACGGTAGCGGCACGGGTACTCCAGATTTCGTAATAAAGGAAGGGGGGCCTCATTTCGGGGGGGGTCTCTTCCAGGCTATCTTGGAGGGCCTGGGAGGGTCTGGGGACGATGTTTTGGAGGGTTCTCCCACGAGGGGGGGTCTGAAATGGCTCGTCTTGGAGGGTCCAGACCCCCTCCCTTTTCTTACGAGATCTGGAGTACCTGTTCCTCCTCTGACTGAGCATGTTCTGAGGGTGGAGGGCTCAGGGTGAAATCCACATGGGCGCTGGCGCCTCGATTAACTTTCTGCAAATGCAAGCCTCGAAAATCAGTCCAAAAACGGCATTCCAGATGTCACCCTGGGCCCTCCACCCGAAGAGAAGAGGCTCGGTCCGAAATCCTCGACCCTCGAGCCTCGAGCTCCGAGCCGGAGCGCGACGGGCTCGCCATCGCTCGGACGTCCATTCCCCGTGTTTTTTCGGTTTCGTGCGTGGCTTTTTCGCCAAACGGTCAAATATGCTCCTCGCTGGTCCTCGCCGAGAAAAAATGCACACGTCCGAGCGATGCCAAGGGGGGGAAGTCAGGAGAAGAAGGCCTTCTCCGAAGCTCGAATGTCCCCCAGCCTTCTGACAAGATGTCTAAGCTCTGAGCTCCGAGCTCCGAGCCAAGGCCTCGAGCTCCGAGCCGGAGCGCGACGGGGCGGAGATGCGCCTGGTGCGACACGTTGACCTGGAAGCCCGCCAGCATCGCGCGCGCCGCCGCCGCTCGGGGGAGGCGGCTCCCTCCGGCCGCCCCCGCGGGCCCGTGCGCGTCTGGGCCGCGGGGGGCGCCACGGCCGCGGGGAGAGGGAAACGCCCGCCCCCCAGGGGAGAAGCGAAGGAGGAGGAGGAGGAGGAGGAGGAGGAGGAGAAGGAGGAGGAGGAGGAGGGGGGGACGCCATACGCCCGCGGGCCGCGGGAGCCCTCGTGTCGCGGTGGCGAGGGTGGGGTCCTCAGGGAGGGGGCCTTCGATATCTCCTCCTCCCCTCCTCCTCCTCCTCCCCCCTCCTACCTCCTCCTCCGCCTCCTCGTCCTCCTCTTCCTCCTCCTCCTCACTCCTCCTCCTCCTCCTCCTCCTCCCCCCTCCCCCCCCCCCCTTTCCTCCTCCTCCTCCTGCAGCTCCTCCTCTCCGACCTCCTCCTCTCCCCCCTCCCCCTCCGTCCTCCTCCTCCTCCTGCCTCCTCCTCCTCCCCTCCTCCTCCTCCTCTCCTCCTCCTCCTCTCCTCTCCTCCTCCGTCCTCCTCCTCCTCCTCCTCCTACTCCTCCTCCTCTCTCCTCCTCGCTCCTCCTTCTCCTCCCCCCCCCCCTCCTCCTGCCTCCAGCCTCCTCCTCCTCCTCCTCCTCCTCCTCCTCTTCCTCCTCCCCTCCTCCTCCTCCCCCCCCTCCTCCTCCTCCTCCTCCTCCTCCCTTCCTCTCCTCCTCCTCCTCCTCCTCCTCCTCCTCCTCCATGGAAAGGGACCCCCCGGGGTGGCCCTGCGCTGCTGGAGGCACGCCGCCCGTGGGGCCCCACGTCCCTCGGGACCCCCGTCGGGAGTGGAGCGCCGAGCCCGGAGCGGCCGCGGGGAGGCCCCAGGAGGCCGGCCCGAGGGCGGCTGCCGCTGCGCCTCGCGCCAGCCTCTAGAGCTCCCGGGGGCCCTCCGGGCCTCGCGGCCGGGTGCTCCGGGGGCCGCTGGGGCCGTCGTGCTGACGAGCGGCGTGCCAGCAGGGGGGTCGCAGGGATTGAGCAGGGACCGACCGTCCCGGCATTCCTAGAGTCATACCACGACATGTTCTTAGAGCCCAAAAAATGTTCCGAGAACAAGTACAATGTTCTTGGAACACAGACCCGATGTGTTAAACAAGACAGTCCCAGCCAGGAATGCTCCAAGAACACTTCGTGGGAGCCGCAAAAGGTTCTTAGAACACTGTTTGGTGGGGCTATAGGCGAGCCGGGACGCTTCGGCACTGCTTGAAGGGAGGAGAGCAGGCCGTGGGCATGGGTGCGGGTGCTCCGGAGGCCGCTGCAGCCATCGTGCTGACGAGAGACCTACCAACCGGGGGGTCGCAGGGAGGAGAACAGGCCCTCGCCATCGCTCGGACGTCCATTCCCTGTTTTTTTTTCGGTTTCGTGCGTGGTTTTTTCGCCGAACGGTCAAGGATGCTCCTCGCTGGTCCTCGCCGAAGGAAAAATGCACACGTCCGAGCGATGCAAAGGACCGTGGGCACGGGTGCGGGCGGTCAGGCCGCGGGGAGGCTCCCGTCCGAGTCCGCCCGCACGCCGCACCGCGGTCCCCTCCGGTCCCCCCCGCTGGGTGTGGGGTGTGGGTGTGCAGTGTTTTTGGTCGCCGCAGCAGACGGAGAAGCTGGGCCACCCTGGGCTCGGGAGGAGGAGGAGGAGGAGGAGGAGGAGGAGGAGGAGGAGGAGGAGGAGGAGGAGGAGGGGGGCCACCCCTGGCCAGGAGACGGAGGAAGCGGGGGGAGGCAGATGCACAGACCAGGCACGGACGTTGTGCGCTGCACCAGGCGGGCCCGGCGCGCAGCACGGAGCGGGAACCTGTTGGCACGGGGAGGGAGGGAGGGAGGGAGGCGAGGAGGGAGGAGGGAAGCGAGGAGGAGGGAGGGCGGGGGGGCGAAGGGGCGGGGGAGGAGGGAGGATGACGACGTCCAGGCGTACGAGTACAAGGGAGCTCCCCGGGCGATGCGCGGGGCCCCTGGGGCTCCCACCTCCGCCGGGCCGCCCGGGAGCCCACACAGAAGCGGCGGCAGTGGCGCAGCTCGCCGCCTCCCCGGGAGCGGCGCTTGAGGAGGCAGGAGGGACTCGCCATCGCACGGACGTCTTTTTTGTTGGTGTTTTTCTTTGCCGGTTTTGCGCAAGGTTTGTTCGCCAAATGGTCAAGGATGTTCCTCGATGGCCCTCGCTGGAAGAAAAATGCACACGTCCGAGCGATGCCAAGGGGAGGAGAAGGAGAAGGGGTCGCGACCGCAGTGCTCCATTCGAAACGATGGCCCAGCACAGGGAGGGCTGAGGAAAAAACGGGGGAGGGAGAAAAGAAAGAGGGAGAGAGAGGGAGAGACAGGGAGAACGCGAGAGAGGGAGAAAGAGGGAGAAAGAGAGAAAGAGAGAGAGAGAGAGAGATCGCGAGAGAGAGAGAGAGAGAGAGAGACCAAGAAAGAGGGAACAAACAAGACGGGGCAGGGACGGGAGAAGTCACGTTCCTCTCCACCTCCTGCGAAGGGACAGCCAGGCTGACGATTCGGATGGTTGGCCCCAACAAAGGCACGGGAACGACCACAGAGGAGCTTCTTGGAAGGGGCCCCAGGACACACAAATAAATACACAAATAAAAATATGTTCCATATTTTTTCATACGTTCTGGGTTTCTGTCTTCCCTCCCACTTCCCATAGTTTCCCATATTTTCTGGGGAATCGAAGATTAATTGTGTCTGTGTGTTTCTGCTCCTCCTGATTCTTGGACAGGACCACCAGCCGAATCATCCAACCAACCCGACCTCCGCCACCCCACACTCGGGAGCGGCCAAGGACGGCGTCCACGAGGGGGTGGGCACAAATCATGGCCGGCGGCACGTGCGCGACCCAGGGGGGAGGGCTGGGGACGCATTGAAATAAGAAGAAGCGCCATGAAATCTGGGAAAATCTTGGCCGCCGCCGACACCATCCACACGCGCCAGAAGCTCCCTCGTGACTCGCTCGCTCCCCTCCCAGAGACTCCGAGCGAACGTGGGGCTTCTTTTCCTGGCGAGGCTCCAGAGACCGCGCCTCCCCCTGGCGACCGCCCCAGGTCCCGCGCGAACGGCTCGCTGGCCGAGGTCTCACGGAACCACTTCTCGAAGAGGCGCCTGTGGTTGGGTCGGGCATTTCCCCCTAAGAAACGGATTTCGGACGAAACAATACAAATACTCAACACATATGCAAACATATTCAAACAAGTACATCAAAATCGTCCCTGGAATAAGTTTGGTTATCTTTGAATATCCCTCCTATAGAGAGACACGCCCGACTGAAGCCTGTGGCCAAGTTTCTTGACCCCGACGGTCTCGAAAAAGGCGGGGTCGAGGGCGCCGTCGCGAAAGTAGAGCCCGCGTATCTGCTCCTAGGGGGGGAACGAAGGAGTGGACCGGGTCAGGTGAGCAAACATCGAGCAGGAATCGGCGATGCACCGCCGATCGATCGGCCATGCGCTCTCGCCTGATGGCGGAACTGCATGTTCCACGGCGGGATGGGTTGTCGGGCCCCTTCTCGGCTGTGGGCTGCAGTCGTAGTCTGACTGCCTGCCACACCACCCCAACCTGACCCGAAGACCCGAATTTCAGGTTGGGGGGGTTCGGGTTCCATGTGTGTGTTTTTTCCAACGTTCCCCGACCCCCCCACACTGGACATTGAGGGCAAATCGGGGCCTTTGGGTTGGGTTGGGGTGATTTGGCGGGCGGTGATGGTCGTAGCCGACGTCACTGGGGAGGCAGTAAGGTACCGATGCTGTCCAGACGCCTCCCGAGGTGCGCTCCGACCAGAATCCCGATGAGCACCCTCCGGCCGCCGCGACGAGGGAGGGACAGCGGTATATGGGTACCCGTTGCTCTCTCGAGCTCCACGGACTCGAAGCAGTCCGCGATGAAATCGTGGTATTGGAGCAGGAAAAGGGACTCGTCCACGCTGGCGAGCCTCGGGGAGACTCGGCATAATATATATATATATATATATATATATATACATACATACATACATACATACATACATACATACATACACACACACATACATACATACATACATACATTACATTACATTACATTACATTACATTACATTACATTACATTACATTACATTACATTACATTACATTACATTACATTACATTACATCACATTACATTACATTA